GAAAGAATTTTACAGTTGTTTAGAAATTTCAACTGGTCCTATTTGCCATAGAACTTAAATTATATATTAAAAAGTAGAGTTTTAGAACTTCAAAAATAAGACTAAACGTAACCATGAAATTATTACAAAAAGTGGCACTGACTCAACCTCATTTACTATGAGATAGGGTTTTCTTTGTGGGAATATCACTGGCTAATGCCAAGAACAAGTGATGAGATTCAGCAGCTCTTAATTTCACCCAAATTCAAAAAGAAAATAAGCTCTTCTCCCCAAATTTGCCAATTGTATAAATCTTTAAGTGGTACTAGTTATACAACCAACCTGGTGTCTATAGTCTCTCACACACCCCAGCTGACATACTGTTAAGATTAAATCCCAGGGGAGCCATCAAAAACAGAATGTTTTAATACTCAAGACCAAATCCTATTCAAGATCCAGAATGATAAAAGTAATGTTATTGTCTTCATCAGCTCAAACAGTTTATGTACTTTGAATCTTGTTTCTAATAAGAATAATCTAGAATTCTAAATTCTGTTTTAAACCTATCTGNTTTTCCAGCCCCAAGCCCTCCCTCATCTTTCCCTTTCCTTACATCCACACTAGGAACTTCTCTTTCAGGCCCATCTCTGACCACCTCGAGCCTTTCTTCCTTCATAGCTCCTCACACAAAGTTTCAAGGTTTTCCAGCTTTCTCTTCACTGGGCAACTCACCCATCCCTATTCTAGGTTTTAGCCCCATCCATGGAACCATATTTTCATTGCAGTAAGGGCTGAGGGTGAAAGGGGGAATCTGGAGACAATGCTACAGGTTGAATAAATGCAGGAAATTAATCAGGCACATTGGCTGCTGAGACCAAACTTTCAGTTCCCTTTAAATTAGGGTGATCATATAAGTTACAGTTCAAACTGGGATCCTTTCAGAGACAAAGGAGCCAATATTAATAATTCTTAATCGCTAATAAATATAAGTTATATATTAATAATAATTATTAATTATACAGGAGCAACTCATATAGGAGCAACTAAGGACATATGGTTACACGGTAAAAGGACTACTTCTGCCTATGTATAGATCTGGGAATACTGCTTATAGTCCCCATGAGTACAACTTACATTAACCAAGGCTTAGTAAAGTAGAGCAGAGATGGCTTCAAAAGGTAGACAACACAAAACGTAAATACGTCTCAGTCCATGATTGAACATTCACTAGAAACTATCAAACTTGTGCAAATCAATAATCATGACAATACTTAACCATGGGATGGCAAATAGGTTAACAAATTAAGAAAATTTCAAAGGACCCTTATAGTCTTAGCAGGAAAGAATTTTACAGTTGTTTAGAAATTTCAACTGGTCCTATTTGCCATAGAACTTAAATT